CTCTCATTTGCTGAGAAGAATTAATACTATAAAGCCGCTGCAGTAAATCAATCCCCAGTGCTGTTTCTCCCCCGCCATGCAGGTGGATGGGTAGCAATTAGCTGCAGATAGAGTTGCCTTTTTTCTTTGATGTGGTCCAACTTTGGCTTTTCTCAACAACCCACTGGTCTCAGCTGGGAGAAATCTGATGCCAGATTATTTGTTGTTTGCAAAAATCTGACAGTTACAAATCACAAAGCTGTAAAACTGGAGCACTCCCTCTGTTCCCTAAGATAAGAGCAAACCGCATTTCTCTTGGAATTGACGAAGCAGCTGGACTGGAAGATTTAAGGGGAAAACAAAAAGTCCCAGGTAAAAACAGATCCTGTTTCTCCATCCTCACTTTTTCCTTTGATGGATTCGAGCAACGTATATATTTCCACCCTCCCCCCCCTCTTTTTTTTTTTCATTTGGAGTGTACCCACCCCCACAAGCACCGCCATAAAGTGACTCTATATTCTCCCATGTCTTTCGAAAACTAAAACGTGGCAGGTACGTTTGAGGACTTTATGTAGTTTATTGGTAAGTTTTGTTGATAAAATATCTCCCAGTTAATCTTATGAATGGCTTATTTCGTCTAGTATTAATGCTATAAAGACTCTACCAGTCTGCTACAGGTAGTCCTCGACTTATAACCATTTGTTTAGTGACAATTTAATGGCATCGAAAAGAAGTGATTTATGACCATTTTTTCACACTTACAACCATTGCTGCATCCCCATGGTCACGTGATCAAAATTTGGATCCGTGGCAACTGGCTCCTATTTATGAAGGTTGCAGTGTCTTGGGATCATGTGATCCCCTTTTGAGATCTTCTACAAGCCAATGGGGAAGGCAGATTCACTTAACAACCATGTTATACTTAACAGCCGCAGGGATTCACTTAACAACTACAGCAACAATGTTCGTAAAATGGGGCAAAATTCACTTAACTGTCTTGTTTAGCAACAGAAATGTGGGGCTCAATTTGGGTCCTAAGTCGAGGACTACCTGTACAGGAAACATCCTCGGGCTAATGCCTCTGTGACTGCTTATTGTAAACTTCAGGCAATCAAAAAGTCATCCAAAGCTCAGCGGGGCAAGCAGCTACTTTGTATGAAATGGTCCCGGGTTCAATTCGAGACAGAACTGACAGGCTTCACTACCTGAACTGCATGCTTGTCAAAGTCTATGGAAATTCTCCGTCATCCAGGTCACAGTGGTCCCAGAGGTGCTTTTCCATTAGGCAACAGGTCTTTCTTGAAATGTTTCCTTGAAAACGTTTCGCTTCTCATCTGAGAAACTTCTCCAGTTCTGATAAGAGTTTTTTTAAAGGTGGTAAGTTCTGAAGAAGTTTCTCAGAAAAAAACAAGGAAGTCCTGTTGCGTTTTGGAAAAGCACCTTTGGGGCAGGTGTGTGTAGAAAGTTAGCACCCACCCCTCTCCTAGAAGAATGAAATATTTCAGGATATTTTTTTTTTTTTAAAAAAGGCAGAATGTCATATTTTCCCTAAAAGAGAAATAGAAATGTTAAGGGAGACAGAAACTCGGGGCTCCAGCTCCCTCCCTTCAGCAGATACTTTGGTGCACTTTAAGAAAGACTTGGGCCAGCCCGTCTACAAGACGAAAGACCTCCAGCTCCAGGGTGATGGGATTAAGACTTGACTCCTCAGGACATAATAGGATTAGCCTTCTTTGCCACATACGGAGAGCGCTCATACTGGAATCTTGAGGAAGTCTGCTTAAAATTAAACCCTGGTAAGTTCCATAGAAAAGATTGCATTCCTCTAGAGAGTGATCTGGGAATAAGTCTTAATGAGCTCAATGGGCTATTTCTGAATAAACATGTCTGTAATTGGACTCATCTCCTTAATAAGCCAGCTTCAAATTGCAGTGAGAGAGAGAGGAATTTGACAACTTAAAAAAAAAAAACAGCGGCAAAAATAGCTAGCTGTGTGTGATATTTATCATCAGACATGGTTACACTCTTCTGGAAGCAGCCATTATCCCAGGATGTGGGAGGATGAAAAGGAAAGCTGGGTGTGGTTTTCGCTTTGGATTTCAGGACAAGTGGAACTGCAAAGAATGATTTCCAAATCTATTTGGAATTTCCTAAGCCACTCGATTTTGCTGCTGAAGTTAGCTTCAAATTGATATAGGTCGTCCTCAACTTGCAACCATTCGTTCAGTGGCCATTCAAAGTTACAACGGCACTGAAAAAAGTAACCCCACCGATTTTCACACATACAACCATTGGAGAATCCCTGTGGTCACATGACCAAAATTCAGACATATGCCAAACTGGCATGTATTTCGGACAGCTGTACTATCCCGGGGTCAAGTGATCACCATTGGTTACCTTCCCAGCCAATTTCCAACAAGCAAAGCCAATAAGGGGGTGTGTGGATTCACTTAACGACCATGTGATTCACTTAACAACTGCGATGATTTGCTTAACAATCGTGGCAAAAAGGAATAAAACCAACCCAACAACATGAAACAGTAGCATAGCATAGATGTAAAAAATCATATTACTGAGATTCATAATAATCCAAAAGATTCACACACATTGGCTGCATTCACATAATATACATAACCCAATTCCAAAATGAAACCATGTTCTTAATTTATGTAGTGTATCTAACCACAAACTAAACGGGATGTTCGCACAAACAAGCTAAAAAACAACAACTCCTACCTCTAACCATAGTTAAAATTAATAAAGCTCAGTATCTTGTGTGAATATGATTTTCCACTTGACTTGATTAAACACATCGCATAACTGTAACCTCTTTCTTCTTACTTTTGAAAGAGGAGTGGAATGGTTCAAATGGTCTTTTCACTGTATTGAGATTTCTTTTTTGTTCACTGTCCAGAGTTCCTTCTGGTATATGGGCAGCCAAGTAAGTTTGCTTAATAAATAAAAATAATACTAGCAGGCTTAGCAAACTACAGTCAAGCAAATGCAACAATGTTCCTTGCTCACTGAACAACATACAATGTGCTCTACATATGGAACCCATTTCATTGCAATTTAGAAGTAGAAATGTCCAATCAAAATGGTACTCAGGAGCACCAAAATTTCCAAAGATATCCCCTGGGAATCTGGTAGACATTCCAGCTCTACTTGATTTTATAATTTGGAGATTCTGTTTTAATGATTCCTTGACTAAAAGTAAATAGGAAACTTTCTAGTAAAAACCAAAGCATTTCCTTCCAGATTGATCTTTATTCATATGTACAAGCATTCCACACCTGGGTAGTCACTTCTGGAACAAGTTGGGAGGCTGCAGACCCCAGTTTTGTTTGGAATCATGCCCAAGTCCTCACAACAACAACAATACACACACAAAATAGAGGGAGATATAAGAAACATCTAGGTTGTGTGTCTGGGGTGAGTCCATGTATAAGTATGAAATGATAGGGAGTAACTTCACCAGTTTGTCTTCTAGTAAAAGGGTGTTTTCTGATAAGAGTCATGTTCCCATTGAATCATTTTGTATTAGTATCCCCCCCCACCCCCCAATATATGCCAGGGGTATTCTCATCTCTCTTTGATCAAATATCCCTGATTGCATACAATTAACTGTCAGAATGCCAGCTATCATACACAATCCATGACTAAACTTCACTGCAAACCAGCTAACCATCTGTCTTCTTCCAAATGAATCACCTGTGAATTCTCAAATTCCCCCCACCCCAAAAATTCTTAAGATTGCCAAATATTTAATGTCAATCGAAATGCCAATTGAAATATTTGGCCACTTATTCCCACAAATATTTGACTGGGTAAGGTAGGCCACTGCCAAAGACTCTTCTGGGATCACAAAACTGCGACGGGAGGATTTTGGCAAAGAATTTTGGTCCATTTCTTTTCTGAAGCAATTAGAGAGGCTAGGCAACACATCTTAAAATGTCCACCATCACATGGAACAATAAGTAAATTACAGAGAGTGGGGCAGGTCTCAAGCAAGATTGTTTTCTGTGATACAAGCTGATGCAGGCCAGAAGGTACGATACAAACCACAAGCAAATTAAAATGCCTTACAAGAATTCAGATAATTCATGTGGACAACGCACAGAGTCCCTCTCCAAGGAGACAGGCAGTTAAGAAATATGAAATCCAAATAAATAATTTGGCTTTGTCTCTTTCTCCCTGGAAATTCTGAGAATGAAACTATAATATCAATTATCACAAAGTAAATAAGTGTGTTGTTCTTCAAATGCAAACCTTATCTTTGCCCTGAACTCGCCAGCTGGTCTTCAACTAGTCACCATCTCTTAGCATCACGCCCCTAGTCCATATGCGGTACAGGAATGAAGATACAGACGGGGTTATGATGGCAGTAATAATCTATGAGGACTGTACGTTGCCCAGAGTTGTCTTTCGTGAATTAGACAGTTATACTATTTTTATTTACAAAGGACAGTAAACATTCACAATCGTATCGCACTATAATGGTTCCAAGAGATATACAAGAAACAATTTCCTATTCTAGATGGAATGAAAAAAGGCACAATCAGCCTAAAGGCAAATCATGGGATAAGGTGAATTAAGAATGATTTAAGGGGTTTCTGAACTAGTGCTTATTTTTCCCCAACCTGGGCTTGGAGTATCCGTCCTCCAACTTGGCTAAGGAGGAGGAATGGTCAATTGGGCAGTGATCTTACACACCCTCAGTTCTTTAGGTCTAAAATGGGATTAGTAATAAAATGGCCTAGATAAGCGAAACATGTTAAAAACATAATACAATAAGGCAGTGGTTCTCAACCTTTTCTTCACCAGGGATCCCCTTTAAATACCTTTTGTGGCCCACGGTCCCTGGCTACGGACCACCAAGACTTAACTCAAGCATTAAACCATAACGTTTCTTCAAGCCTCTGCGGACCCCCTCTGACAACACCACCCCCCCACAGGTCCATAGCCCCAAGATTGAGAACCACTATAAATAAAGGGTTAAAGGAAGAGCGCGTTTAACTTACCACTGGGACCAAACTACCGAAATCTCATATAGTCCTCAACAAGGTAGTGGCTAAAATCATCCCAAGCATCCTAATCCATGTGCAGTCAGGAACGCTGCAGCTTTCTTTCATCTGCTACTGGAAGACTCTTGAATCAGCTGCAGGCAAATGAAAGGAAGGGAAGGGAAAAAAACACGCCAATGAAGCGTCCATTTCCAATTCATTCTGCTCTCTGAGTCGAGGTGTCAGCAATTTACCCAAAGCAATTCTCCCAATTTTTTTAATTTATTTATTTTTGGGGGGTCTTATCTTCCTCTTCCACCTCCTTCCTAGTGATGGCAGTTCAGCAGATGTCGTGAAAAGACCAACAAGCTCTTGAGAACTAGGCATTTGCTTTTGATGCCAGACCCGGATCGGTACAAAAAGGTTAGAAAAGAGGCATTTCATTTCATTTTTTAAGTGAAAATATTTCTTGCTATGCTCTCCTTTTCCAAGCACAGGTACTCCATCTTTCTCCCCAGAAGCAGAGTGGGAAAGAAAAATATATAATAAATCCAGCATGAACTGTTTGTACTGTACAAATTGCAGAACTTAGCACATACTCCTGGCTGTAACATAATGAGGCTGTGCTTAAACTGTGTCCCTATCCTTTCTTGCCAATCTGTGATGCAAGAAGTTGCCTTGAATCCAGTTTCATAACAGGTTCTCAATTCCACACCTACTCACACAGGAAAACCCTTTCTGTTCCCAGTCAATCCAAGAACCGTATTCCCTTGAACGATTAGTACAATAATCCTTGCCTCTTGTGGACCAATATATATATATGCCTGCATCTGTACATTTTAATAATGTAATAATTTGACTCGAAGTTGTAGAGACTGGATCCTTTTGAATTAAATGGAAGCAACAAAGAAGTCTCACAAGAGGAACAGATGCTAGAGAAATCTCTCTCCTGTTAGAGAGAGAGAGAGAACCTGAAAACTTACAGAATGTAAAATAAAACTATATAAACTCGCAAGCAGAATCATTCTTATTTTCTTAAAACTACCTATTTACTCCCAAATGAATGTGGATGAGGGAACTTGTATCTAACCGATCTGGAAGGCAGTAGATTCCAAAAGTCTAAATATCGTGAATTTCCATTCAGATTTCTTTCATTTGCCAGGTGCTCTAAATTCTGGATTTATTTATTTTTTTCCTTTCATACACTATAATTCCCAATGAAGAGTTAGAATACTAAGGCTGAGGGAAAATGATGGATCCAAAAGCAAGCTTCAGTGTTAGGGCCATATCTCCCAGAGGCAACGTGGCCCATGGTGGACTTCAGAAAAGCAAGGTGTGAAAAGTGCAGAAAAGAGCATTGAAGATGATTAGGGGACTGGAGGTTAAAACATATGAATAAAGGTTGTAGGAATTGGGTATGTCTACTGTATAGTCTAATGGAAAGAAGGACTAGGTATGATATGATGGTAGCGTTCCAATATCTCAGAGGCTGCCATAAAGAAGGGGTGGGGTCAACCTATTCTCCAAAGAACCTGAAGTTAGAACAAAAAGCAATGGATGGAAACTAATTAGGGAGACAACCAACCTAGAAATAAGGAAAAATTTCCCGACAATGTAAACAATTAATCAGTTGAGTGACTTGCCTCCAGAAGTTGTTGGTGCTCTAACACTGGAGGTTTTTAAGAAGAGATTGGATAACTATTTACTGAAATGGCACAGGGTTTCCTACCTGAGCAAGGGGTTGGACTAGAAGACCTCCAAGGTCCCTTCTAACTCTGTTATTCAGCAATGAGATAGATGTCACCATCCTGAGACTCACTGCCTGATCAAGACCAAGGCAAGTTACTCATGTACAACATCAAGTGGATCAAATAATGGAAAACCAGAAACCTGCTTTCGGTCATTCAGCGGAGACTAGACAGGCAGCAAGTGCATGTAGCCACATACGTATTCCAACCAGCAAAAAACATAAATAAATCTCTTGTCTCCAATCATTTTAACTAGAGACAACGCGGATAAAATCTGAGACATAGTGAAGGTAAAAGCGTGTTCTGCCAATGGACTGCAGCCCCAGTCCTTTGCATCAATAGGCAAACATAAATTTAGAAACACGTTATCTACTGGTAGTAAAGGAGAAAAAAAATAGCAAAGCATACAATCGATCAGCCACCTGGTTCAAAACACTCACATACAGCAATGGTTCCAGGTTTCAGTCTTGGTTTTCTTGAGCAAATCCATTGATTCTGCCAGCCAACATGGCAACATGACCCAACAATGGGGAACGAGCACAGGAATGTTTTATCTTGTTATCCATTTCTTTGTGCCTCCAAGGAGCTTATGTAGTCCATCTGCACGCTGAGATATTCTATCCTAGAGTAGTCCTGACTTCCAAAGTTGATTGAGAGAGAGAGAAGGAAGACAGACAGAGAAAGACAGAGAGAGAGACAGAGAGAGGAGAGAGGAGAGGAGGAGGGAGATGAAAGAAGGCAGGGAAAGGATTCAAAAGGTCACAGAAAGAAGAGGGCAAGAGAAATAAGGTGTGACTTACAGCACTTTCATTTTTTTTCTTTTTGGAAAGTTTCATTCTTAGGTGACTAAAAAAAAAAATCTAAAAAACTTGCCTGCCAAATGAGACCGGTTTCCTGTACTATTCATAGCAAGCAAGACACTCAACTCTCTGAGTCCTGAAATCGTTCACCAAGAACAGAGGGAAATGTCAATTCCCAGCAAGAGACCTCGCCTCCTATTAGCATACAAAAGTGGCCACGTGCCCCTCTGGTCGCCAAAAGCACATCCCCTGACTCATCCCAGCCATAAGGAGAATTGCCGAGAACAATTTCCTCTCTGCCCCAAACCCTACTGTGCACGGTAAATGGGACAGACTGGAGGTATCCTGCTCGCTTTGATGGTAATTCCAACCCAAGCTCAACTTTGCTCAGCACTGCAAGGAGGTGGCCAAAACTGAGCTTTGAGTCATCCCTCAATTATACACCGAAGGAAATTAGTCAGCAGCACACAGCACATGTTTTGCAATGAGTAGCTGTTCAGGCTCTCATGCAATGTTGCTTCTGACAAATGCAAGATCCTGGCACTGCCCGAAGCCCAGGAAAATTCCATAGACCAAAAAAAAAAAAAAAGAGAAAGAAAAAAGAAATGAAAGAAAGCGGGGGAAGCAAAGACGAAAAGAGGAAAAAAAAAAAGTGGCTGATTTGTAAAAGTATCGTGCCCAGAAACCATGTTCAATTCAATCTCATTCTACAGCCTGTGTATTTGTTTAATGATTCAATTTATATAGCTGCCCATCTCTCCTATGTGATTCTGGGTAGCTCACGACAATTAAAAACAACGGAAAGAATAAAAAAAAATATAAATAAAAGCCGCAAAAGCAAAAATTCCTACGAAAAACCCGGAAAACATAATAATCACAGCAGGTAAGTATGATCAATACACCCAGTTCACAGTGGCCTGACTTGAAACGCTACGCAGGATTATGGTGGAGAACGGAAAGACAAGAATATTCTCTCTTATATGCACACACACAAAAAAAGGGAAACAAGACCCTTTCTTGTGTGTGCTGAGAAAAATAATTGGAGAGTACAATCAGCTACTGATGGCACAGTGGTAAAATTAGCTCCTTTCAGGGTTTGTTAAGATACAGAATGAAAGTTCTTTAGCTTTTCTTGAACCATCACACTCTCCTTGGTTTATAAAAAAACATCAACTGGATAACGGAAGAAACAGCAACTGCGGTTACAGACTGAAGATAAGGGCATGCTCCTTCGGAAATGAAGCTAATTCTCCTTAGATTGCTTCAAAAAGGATAAAAATCACCTGAAAACTTTGGTTGGAGAATGCAAACAAGTTCTAATATGAGTACGGGATTCCAGGGGAGATATACATCCATGAAAAGTTGACTCTAAAGTTTCCTCTTGTGCAAATAAGGAGTGGCAGGTTGAATATCATTAATGTATCTATAAGCTCACCCATTTCAGCTGATTCTGGACTTAACCCATTTTCCTAGGTGACAGCACAAAAATATAGAAAACTCTTTACTGCCATCTAATGATTGGCTGTTTACAATCCAGATGTAGTAGCCCTAAACATAGTGAGTGCGTGCAATTTCACTGTTTATAATTCATGGAGGATGAGTTTACTATAAGCATTACATGAGAGAGAGAGAGAGAAGTTGTAGCTGCGTTACCAGAATTGCACCAGAGACACCACCTTATTCAACCAGGGAGCTCAATGGATGACTGTGGCCCAGCCCCTCTCTCTTACGCCCCTCTTAGCCCCCCTCTCTCTCTCTTCTTCACAAGACGGCTGCTATGGCAATGAAATGATGGGAAATTAATTCCATGTAAGGTATCTTACATCACCAAAGGAAAACAAGACATAAATCTGAAAGCAAGCAATAAATAAATTGGTTATGCCACCCTGCACTTTCTGTGTTTTGTTTTGGTTAAAGTCAACAAAAGTAATCAAGAATGGGAGAAACTGAAATAGTGAAATAATTGGCATTAAAGATTAAAGATTCTTGTAGCCTCTATGTGAGAGATAACCGATTCAACACAGAGCCGTTATCAAACAATACTGCTAGTGAACACCTTGTATCTCAATTTCTATAAGAAAGTTCCTGAAAGCCTTAGCCACAATTTGCTCATCTTTAACTGAGTCAAACATTCAGAATAGTTCGAAACCCAGCCGTGGGTGAGCATGTGTGCATCCCCTCTTGCGCAACCTGCGCCCGTGTGCTCACACTTGCACGCTACTTGCACAGAACCTTCCCCTCTCCCCCCTCCACCCGCCGGTCCACAAAGTCGGAAAAGTTGGGGAACTCCGACATAACAGACTAAACCAAATCAGTGAAAGGCCCTAGAAGCTGAATTCATAGATTACTCAAAGCTCAGTTCAACCTTGATTTTGCAAGCAAAGGTTCTGGCATCTATCCATCCATCATTATCCCGGCCCTCCAAAACCATTTAAAGCAGCTCCTTTTAATGAACAACAACAAAGAGGAAAACAAGGAAATTGTTACAGGCATTTCACCATCCAGCCTGGCCCAACTAAATGCAGAATTTAAACCGTGGCTGTAAGTTCTCCACCAGCCCGCAAACAAACTGTGGTAGCAGGAACCAAATAGAAAATCTCAGAAACC